CATTTCCGGTGTCTTCTAGATGAAAAGGATGAATTCTAATTTTCATTGCCACATTCACAACGTTTCGGCCGTTGTACTCCCCGGTCTTCTTCAGGTGATTAGAATATCTATCTATATCTCTAAGATGAGGTATTATGATTACTTACATTATTTATAATATTCAAACTGCTATCCTCAGCTTCATTGCCATATTCACAACGTTTCGGACGTTGTACGCCCCGGCCTTCTTCCTGTGATTGGAATATCTGTGTATATCTCTGAAATGAGGTATTATGATTATTTACTTTATTTACATTATTCAGATTTGGCCTAGTGGGTAAAGGCATTGGTTAGATCCAGTGACTAGACCCAAAGAGTTGTGAGTTCAATACCAGGCCACAGCAGTGGCGAACCAAAATAACTTTGAGTGTTGAGTTAAAGAGAAATAACTGAGACATCCAGAAAAGGCATGGTACTTGGAACTAGAAGAATCTGTCCCGGTGGACGAAATAAAGGGTTCGGTTCGAAATTCCAATAATTCCAAGAAGGCCGGGGCGTACAATGGCTGTAACATTGTAAGTATGGCAATGAAGATGAGGATAATAGGCCGAATAATGTTCATAAAATAAAGAATGAACGTTTGTTAGCAAAATGACATCCCAGCATGCAAATTACAAACTGGAGATATCAAAATTAAACAAGTATAACAATTTAAATATTTAAAGTTCTTTCCATCTGCCACCTCCTCCAGACCACGTTCTGTCATCCACTTGCTTAAGCCAGACAAATATCACGCGTTGTTTTCCCTTGTCTCTCTTTCCCTCTATTCCGCCTGTGAGTATCAGATTCTCCAGGCCTTCTGATGTGGGGACAAATTTGGGACCACAAAAGTAAAACACGGAACACGGATTAGATATAAGAAAGATATATTAACAACAGGTTACAGGGATAGTGTAAGCGGAGCTTACTATAAGTTTGTGTCCAAAACTGGTAGTCGTACTAGACTCTCACTGTCTCTCTCTATGTCACTCTCTCTAGAGTGCTATGTCGCCTACTTAATATAGGCCTGGAAGAGTCTATTGTGTAGGTAGTTTCCGGTCTCACAATACCTTCCTTCCTCATTATGTGTCCCAGAAACTTTAACACTCTCTTCCTGATTTTAAGTGTAAGACTCCTCCTTGTTTGCAACATATCTAAGACCTCATCGTTGCTCACACGCTCGGTCCATGATATCCTTATCATCCTTCTCTAGAACCACATATCTCTCTCCGCAAGTCTCTTCTTCATCTTTGAGGAATTAAGCCAACATTCGCTGTCGTAAAGAAGGACAGATTAAACAGCATATTATCCCCACTTACAATAGTGTCCAACGTATTTATGAGAATTGGGACATACCCATTAGTGTTCATAGGTACGGTTTATAAGCATCTTTCCTTATTCTGATGTGTTCTCAGGTTACAGGCTCTGAATTAAGAGATGTATTTCAATATCTGGGAAATGTTTCAACAGTGGACGGAAATTGCAGTACTGAAATCCGAAGGCGTATTGGAATAGCGAAAGATGCATTCCAAAAGCTAAGCAGAGTATTAAGAAATAAGAAAACTTCGTTAGCCATAAAAAAATAGTACCAAACTTTTATGTGATATCTTCCCACCTATATGACAGTTGGACAATCCCTTCAAAGATGAAGAAGAAGCAACAAAAATGTGGTTCTACAGAAGGATGATAAGGATACTAAAGACTGAGCATGTGAGCAATGACAAAGTTTTAGAGAAAATGGAAACAAAATGGGCACTTATACTTAACATCAGACAGAGAAAGTTGAAATTTATAGGGAAAATAATGAGGAAAGAGGGCTTGGAAAATTTGATACTCACAGGGTAGATTGAAGGCAAGAGGGACAGAGAAAAAAACGAATAACTTAATTAGCTCGAGTGGATGGCGGAACATTTTAGGAGAAATAAAAAGACAATTTATTAAGAGCTACGAAAGGTAGGAAAGTGTGGAGAGCCATAATCGCCAACTTCCTGAGGGACACACGGAACATGGAAGAATATATATATATATAAACGAAGGAAAAGGAAATATTGTTTTTCATTAAGAGATGTTGGAAAAGAACAGGTCCTTAGCATTCGTTAAATATAGCATTTCAGAGGGTCTAGCCAGTCGCCTGACCTAAATCCGATCGAAAATCTAGGAAGGTATTTAAATTTCGACTTGATCTGGAGAATTCTTAGGACTTGCGTTATCTTAAGACGATTAATTCACAGGAATTGGATAAAAGTTGGTCTTAATTTCTGCGAAAAGCTTAGCTGAAAATATTCCCCGCTCTCATATCAAATAATCGAAATAACTGTTTATTAATGTTTTTAGCATTTTCATATTACTTTTTCAGGTATTTGTTAATAAATGTATGGAAAGACAAACATCTGACTTATTTTGCCTTATATATAGACTATAAGTTTTTCAACTAAGTTCATGTTTCTTAAAAACTTGATGCGACAGTTTTTCCCCTATTGCTGTACGTACGGGTGTCACAAAAGTCTGGTCTGGTTTATTTTGTTTTACGGCATATCAACACCTCAATGGGTTTTGTAAAGCCGACAAGATCTTTAGGATAGATTCGTGTGAATAGAATATGTATTCTTTGTAACAAATCAGTTTTAGATCAGGGTTTTGGTTTAATTTGTTTTACGGCATATCAACACCTCAATGGGTTATTTAATTTTTTTTTAGGATAGGTTCGTATAAATAGAATTCTTTGTAAAAAATTCGAATCAAATCAGATTGTAGACTCGGTTTCATTGATGTAAATTTTGGAAAGAGTGTTTCTGCCGAGAGTTTAATGTATTGCTGTTAATATTTTTCACAATAAAAATCTACATCTGTCTATATCTCTGAGATGAGGTATTATGATTACTTGTATTATTTACATTACTCGGACAGTTATCCCCACCTTCAAGGACACATGGCCTAGTGGATAAAGACGTTGGTTAGATCCAGTGACTAGATCAAAAGACTTGTGAGTTCAATACCAGTTCACAGCAATGGTGAATAAAATCATGGCGAGTTGAGTTAAAGGTTAATTAACTGAGACATCCGTAGGAGACATGGCACGTGGAACTAGAACAATCTACCCCGGTAGACGAAATAAAGAGTTCGGTTCGAAATTCCAATCACCTGAAGAAGACCGGAGTGCACAACAGACGAAACGTTGTGAATATGGCAATGAAGATGAGGATAACAGTCCGAATAATGTAAATAATGCAAGTAATCATAATACCTCATCTCAGGGATATAGAGGCCGAAACGTTATTTATATAGCAATGAAGATGAGGATAACAGTCCGAATAATGTAAATAATGCAAGTAATCATAATACCTCATCTCAGGGGATATTCCCAACCGAAACGTTATGAATATAGCAATGAAGATGAGGATAACAGTTCGAAAAATGTAAATAATGCAAGTAATCATAATACCTCATCTCAGGGATATAGAGGCCGAAACGTTATGAATATAGCAATGAAGATGAGGATAACAGTCCGAATAATGTAAATAATGCAAGTAATCAAAAAACCTCATCTCAATTGATATAGAGGCCGAAACGTTAAAGAATATAAAATGAAGATGAGGATAACAGTTCGAATAATGTAAATAATGCAATAATCATAATACCTCATCTCAGGGATATAGAGGCCGAAACGTTATGAATATAGCAATAAAGATGATGATAAGAGTCCGAGTAATGTAAATAATGCAAGTAATAAAAATTTATTTTTATACTTTCATAATATTTTGACACCAGTTGGGGGGTTAACTATTTGCCAGAAGCTGGGACCCCCCCCCCGCCAACAGGTGCTACCACTCCGGATGAGAATGAACCTGGGAACAACAGCAATTAAGAGCTGGTTCCACGCTTCTCCCGATTAGAGGCCTTTATTTTATCGTCATACCCAGGATGTACTAAAAACTTGACATTTCATTAACTCTATTTTTACCTCCACAGATTAAACATGGTTTTGTCGAAAAAGAAAGAATTGACTTCTTTTACTGGGGTATGCTAAAGGAGAAGGTGTACTCAATGAAAACCACAGATGCTACACACTTGATTGAATGTATAGAGTGACTGTGCTAAAATTAACGGCAATATGCAGTTATTGCATCGAGTTCACGTGAATCTTACAAAGCGCATCAAAATTTCTATCACAAATAGGGGAAATCATATGGATGATTATATTTGTAAATATTCCAGTTCAACAAAATGTTGTCGAAAATTTCCTTTCTTGAAAATATGCATTTTTGCCTATGTATCCACAATTCAGAAATACCCCGTATTTATAAAATTATGCATAACTTTATATTGATTGATTGATTCGTTTTTGACGTCTTATCAACCCTTTGAAGGTTATTTAAAGCCAGAAAATATTTTTAGATTGTAGATTCATACCTTTATAGAAAATGATATAAAGACAAAAAATAATTATAATGTGGATATAAAGTTGGGGCTCAATTCTATATTACAATCAATATATAAATAAGTTTCCTTTTTTTTTTTCCCTATTTTTTTTAACACATTTAAATTCAAGTGAATTTAAATAGATCAAAAAGACATGTCTGTGTAGCTAATCAGGATTTCATCGAATGGGTGATTCGCTTTCTACAGGTTATCAACACTTTGCTGGTTTTTTAAACATAAAATATTTTTTAGATTGTAATATTTTTTTGGCGGGGGAGGTTATATAAGTCTTACTAATTAACCCATAGCTGGGGGAGAGGAGGCCTTTTCATCTCTGTATGATTTTAGAATCAAATTTTAATAGTGAATTTATGCATTTAAACAGAAGGTGTACTCAATGAAAATCACAGATGCAACACATCAATTTTGACAGATTTAAACAGTGTTTAAGTCAGTCAAAATATAAATCCGGGACATCTATAAATACTGATCCCCATTAACTGAAGGTTTAAGACCGCAACACATTAAAACAACGGTCCCGTACGAAGTTAAGCAACGTCGAG